TTTCCACCCTTTCTTCTTGGGCTTCTAATCTCTTCGTCTCTCCGCAAGTGCCACTCCATCTGTATCCTTCTTCTCAAAGTAAAGCAACTTTAGGGTGTCGTATCAGAGTTGACTTGAAGCATCTATTGAAGAAATTGGACAATCTTGCAGTGGTGGACCATCGGTTTGTTAGTTCTATGCACTTTACTTATTTAACCTACAAATTCGATGCATGTGAGGAACCCGCTCTGACGGTTGTCTGAGGATAGCGCCTTTTTAAATTTCTTTATTTCTTTAAAGTCTCCTAGCATCTTTGTTGTGTTTGTCAAGTTTTGGGTCGTTTGCGTTTATTTAATAAAGTTTGTTTTAAGTTCTACTCATTGTGTCAGTTTTTCTCTTGTTTGTCTACATCACATCCTCAGACTGATGGACAAACTGAGCGGACTATTCAAACCCTTGAAGACTTGTTGAGGCTGTGTGTTCTTGATTTTGGTGGAGATTGGGAATCTCATATTCCTTTGATAGAGTTTTCTTACAATAATAACTTCCAAGCAAGCATAGGAATTGCTCCATATGAAACACTCTATGAAAGGAAATATAGAACACCTCCATGTTGGGCAAAGGCAGGTGAGAGGAAGGTAATTGGAGCATATTTGATTGATGATGTTACAAACAATATCAGAATAATAATGGATAGGTTGCTAGTAGTATAAGATAGACAGAAGAAGTATTATGATGCTAAGCACCGTTCTGTGGAATTCAGTGTAGGGGATTTTGTCTTCATAAAGATCAGGTCTATGAAGGATGTACTTTGTTTTGACAAAGTTGGCAAACTCAGCCCTCACTACATTGGTCCTTTTGAGACTGTGAAAAGGATTGGGAAGGTAACCTACATATTGGCTTTAACAGCTACATATGCTGTCCACAATGTGTTTCATGTTTCTTCCTTGAGAAAGTTTATATCAGATGATCCTTCTAAGATCATAACATAAGATGTGGACATACAGTCTGATCTTACTTATGTTGAAGAACCGGATCGTATCTTGGAGTTCAATGTGAAACAACTAAGGAGCAGGGAGATACCTTTTGTTAAGGTTCTATAGAAACATGGGTTGGAGAAGAATGCTACTTGGGAGGAGTCGGAAATGATGAAGTGCTATCCTCATCTCTTTATGTAAGGTATGTTTATTTTTTCTCTCATTTAAATTTCGTAGACAAAATTCTTGTTTAGGAGGGGAGAACTGTAAAACCCGAAAAATGTCGATCTGATGCATCGTACGCATTTCGATGCACTGCGACGAATTTAGGTGAAATTTCAAAGTCGTCGGAATTCGACGAAATAAATTTTATTAAATTCTACATGAAATTTCGATCGAAATGGAATAAAGAACATATACTAAATTCGTACGGTTTAAAAATAAAAAATCGCTGAAGATTGTTTAAGTAACATTTTACCCTTTGTACCTATTTTGCACTCATGAGCTCTTAAGAAAATCTTTGTTAGCGAGGGTACATGCGTCTTTTAGTGAGCCCTCTCCCTCATATAGGCAAAATACCTCCTAGGGACTGAAATATTTCGGTCCCTCTTGTGTTTCTCTAGGCCGAATGAAGGAGCACACGAGAAAAGGATGAGAGGGCGACTGCTTGGGCTCGGCGAGTGGCGGCGAGCGGCGGCGGCGAGTTTTACGGCGGCGGTTTAGAGGGAAAATCAAATGGATTGTTTAGAGAAGATAAAAGGTAAGATTTAAACTTGAAAATCTTGTTCTTTTCCCTTTGATTTTCATGAACCAAATATTTAGTGTTTTGATTATGATGAAATTTTCTTTAGAAAAAATTTAGGGCTTATTTATGCCTATGTTTCCAAGTCATAAAATATGAAGTTTTCTTAAGAAAACTTAGGTTCAAAAAATTAGGATTTTGTTTTTAAATGAAATTTTAATTAAGAATGTTATTAGGAAATATGTAGAAGTAAGTTTAAGTAAGAAATTGATTTTTGTTTAAAGATTTTTTTATTTTCCAAATTAGGGCTTTTTCTAATTTTGCATTTCTAAGCTTGCATGATAACGAATTCTATTCCTAAGGGTTTTGGGAGGTCTCTAATTAAGAGAAATTAAACCTTTTGATAAAAAAAATATTTTCTCTAATTTTATATATATTAATCCAAAAATTTAATGCCCAAAACTTGGAATTAGGAAAGAGAGATATTTTATTATGCAAAATTAATGATATTAGTTGTTGTGTACAGAAGTATTCGTGGCGGTAGAGAAATATCATATTTAACGTCTTAGCGTTGTACGAAAATATGGCACGCAATCAGATAAGGGAGAGGGTCTAGCATTCACATGAGACACCAATGTTTTTACGTGGAAAACCCCTGAAAAGGGGGAAAAACAACGGGGCCTAGCCCAGTTAGTCTGACGACGAAGATCAGAAGGACAGCGTCAGGTAGAAGTCCAACAATGGAAAGAAATCCATCTTCGCGTAGATGTCCAGCGAAGTCCGATAACCGGTAGAAGTCCGGCGTCGGGTAGAAACTTGGCGAAGAGTGAAGGTCCGACGTCGGGTAGAAGTCCGACGTCTGTTGGTGGCAGAGGAGAACACCGAACTTCACTTGGGCAGAGTTTCGGCGTCAGGAGGGAACTCTGTTGTAAATTGGGAAGAATTTCAGCATCACGTGGAAGTTGGGCATAATTCCTGCATTCTCCCGAATATCACGCAAAATCCCGACGTGTTTGGGCGGTAGGACGAACTCCGGCGGTGATCGAGGAGGAGCTAATTCTCCTCCTTCTCTTCTCTTTCTCGCTTCTCTTTTCTTCCGTCCCCCTCTCATGAGAAATGAGGGCTCTATTTATAGATTTACTGGCGTGGCATACCTCGTAAATAGGCGTGAGATCATGGGCGAATAGGGAGTGGTCGAATGGACGGCCGATATTGAACCCTTTGATCATGCACCGTTTGTTGAACATTTGAAGGTCTTAGTAATGTCGGAATTCGGCGATCTTGGGCTTGTTGGATTCGTCTCGTCAAGCCGCTTGATTCGAGTATAAGCTCGTTAAAATCAGAGACCGTTTGGTAACTCAAATTGTTGTTTGAACCTTCCAACAGCGCTTCGGGTCCTTGATTTGGACCCATTTGGGCTCGGATTGAGTTGAATTAGGTGTCATTGGGTTCGTATTTCTAAGACGCTCAGTTTGACTGTAAGTTCGCTAAAATCGGAGTTCAGATGATCCCAGATTTAATTTTTGAAGTTTCCAGCTAGCTTTTTTGCCTCGAGATTCGTGCCCGATCAAGATAATTTTTGCATGACATATCATTAGTGAAGTATGAGGTTTCCCAAAATTTGATTTTAGGTAAAATCGAAAATTTCATTTAAATTTTATTTTAGTGAAAGAAGGAATGTGATAAATTATGAGTTAATAATAAGGTAATTACTAATTAGGATATATATTTTATCTTAGAATTAAGACTCATGCTTTATGTAATGAACATGCTTATGTGATAGATAAGTGTTTTAGGGTATGTGTATGTGAATGAGTATTAGTGAGCTTTATGGAAGTAATTAGCTATGACATGTGTAGTGTTAATGAGGAATAGTGATTTTGAATTGATATAAGAAGTTTATGTTGTAAATTCTTTTTCTTAGGAATTGAGAAGAGAATGAATTAAGGAAAGATTGGAGAAAAGACACTTTCAACAATTGAAGTAGGAACACCTTACTCTTCTTATTCATGTTCTTTTATATCTTTGTTTTGAAATATCTCCTTAATTGTTATATATTAAATGCACATGAAATATCCTTCTTATTTGATAGAAATGTTCATTAAATATTCTATGAATCAAGACATTTTTAATGTTCTCAAACATATTATAATTCTTATCATGTGATAGTAAGCAAAGCATATAAATCTTTTTCATGCAATATTGCCTCATACTCAATACATATGGTTGATATGAAAATGTCATATTACCTACATATGATTCTATTGAAAAGAATGATTGAATGGTTGTGTATGTTGAAGGCGGAGTACCAAATATGGTGCAAAAACACAAATATGACTCTTATGAGCAATATGACCCTTTGGGGAAAAAAGAAAAGTAAAAGAATGGCCAAAAAGATATTTGTGTACTTGATCAGTACACTTATGATACTCCGATACGGGTGTATAAGATAAAGCATAAGCAAGCACATACTTAAGACATACAACATACATAAGACATATGGCATATTTAAGGCATATGACATATTTAAGGCATACGACATACATAAGGCATATAACATTCATAGGACATATGACATACATAAGATATATGAACTAGCATATTTCATGTGGCATATACATAAGAAACAACATGGATAGCAAAATAATGAAGACATTTTACTTCTAACATACAAGTAAATTTTCTTTTAAAAGACATGTGAAGATGTTAGAGTTAGTGTTTCCTATTGAGCTTTAGCTCATTCCCTCATTTTGGAATATTTTCAGGAGAACTCACTGCACAGAATGGCCGATCACCCTTGGTTCACCTACAGTCGTAAAAGACCGGCTGATAGGTTCCTCTTATGTTTTTCTTAGTTGTAGTTTACTCATTTTTGGGTGGTTTGACATGTTTGAGAAATTTTAAAGCCACCTTTGTATATTTGAACAATATGAAATGATATACAATGTTTATTATATATTTGGAAAATGTTTAGAGGTGCTTTTAATTTCTTGTGAAGTGTTTTAGACTAATTAAATATATGTTTTAAGAAATGTTTATGTTCTGAACGTCTAATTCCGTTCCCGCCTCGTCTACACGAGCTCTCCGGGCCGAGTTGTGACACTTTTAATGTATATACTCATTTCACAATCTATTTCTAAGTATAAAGCCACTCATTCATCTGAGCATCCTCATCTTCACAACACTTTAACTTCATTTTATGCTTCTAGTGATAGTCTGTGCCGTGAGTCTAAGTTATTCATGAGAAAGTACATATATTTAAAGCTTTCCAATAAAAAAACACTTCACTGAAGAAAAACTACCTCACTGCAATGAAGATGTAGCCATTGAGAGAAAAATAAGTGTTTAAAGAGGTTAGTGATGGCGCGTATGAGAGTTAAAAGATTTCCTGCATGTGTTGGGTCTGCTGTCGTTCTCTTTAATATCTCCAAGAATACATCTGCAATAGTTCAGAAATGTCGTGTCTCAGGACATACTAATACATCCATATACAAAGAAAAAGACAAACACCATCTTTTAGAAATTGAATCTAAAATTCCAGCAAGTAAACTATTCTTAGGCTTTCTTGCACATGTAAACGACTGAAAGGTAATGCTATCACGATCATACCATTTCCTTGTTCAATGTGCTTGAGAAGCCTACTGGCCCCATCAGGATGTATGATTAGCATTCTTAAAATATCTATTACTGCATGGAAGTAGCAATGAAGCATTGTTAGACAAGATATGCTCGAAGTGAACATATACAAACAGCAGAAACTTTGCAACAATAAACATTACACAAGACGGAAAAGTGGAAGTGCATATGTAAAGGAAATGTTAAAATGAGAATGACAAGGAGACTTTCCAATCAGGTGAAGTGAATTAAAGACTTCGGGTATGTATAAATTTTCTTTGAAAGTATTAGAAAAAGTATTAGAAGCTCTGTATTATATTTTGATTGTTTAAATTATGCACGTTTGCATATCAATGAGTATAATGAATCTATTGAAAGATGATTATATATATATATATATATATATATATATATATATATATAATCTAATGAGATTACATTTTCAATCGATCCTGATTAGTAATTCAAGACAGGTGATAATGATAAAAGAGTGACTAGATTGTTTGCCACTGTTACGCCCCATGGTCAATTGGAAGGGAGTTGAAATGGGGCCTGACATGCATCTCATCTACTCTTGGTGCATCTGATTCCTAGGGCGGCCTCTAATGTGTCATCCTCTTCTATCTTGTCATTGGTATTGGATTTTTACTCTTTATAACATGCTCATTCTCTTCCATTGGTCATTGATTGGGAAACTTCTGCAATCCTTGTTTCATCTGAGTATCTTTGGACACCTTCACTGTCTCTTGAGGTGTTATCTTTAAATTCTTAGGTTGACCCCTTAGTGAGGTTGCCACTTCCTTCCTTCGTGACCCTAGACTCTACTGGGGCAAATACTTCTATATCCTCCTCGATGGTTGTGCCTTTTCCTCGACAACCACCAAGTTCTTTTGCAAATACTCTTCGAGGATCGAATGTTACTGGGTCTCACCACTCTCCATCCAACAACTCTTCAATTATATTTCAATAAAATTCAATAACTCTACATCAAAAAGAATCTTCTTCCTTTTAAGGGAAGCCTACTCTCCTCCTTTCCGATGAGGAAATCTCTGCACTTGCTAGGCATTTTGCCCTCTCACTTATGGGAAAATTCTCAATGGGCCGTTCAAATAAGAAGATAATCACAAGTTTTTGTTTGACTTATAGCTGAAGGGTGACTACTCTATTGGGCCCATCGACCCACGACATGTCATCATAAGACTTTTCTAGAAACATAGTACATTAGATTCTTTGCACAACGATAATACTATATTAGTGGCCTCCCAATCAGCATGCTTAAATAGTCCCCAATTTTGATTACTCTATGGAACCCGTCACCTTTGTTTGGATATAATTTCCATGACTTCGATCGTACTACTTCAGTCAATCAACCTTATTCAACTTGGATTTTATTTTTAGGAAGCCTTGACTAGTCAATGCTGCAACAACCCATTTTGTTAGGCCTTCTATAGCCAGAGTCTTGATAGAACTAGATATCAAATTCCCGTTTCATAAAGAGGTGTGGATTGGGTCCTCGTCATCTGGATATTGGCAAAAGGTGAAATTTGAAACTTCCCACCATACTGCTCCTCCCATCAAATGTTTAAGCATAAATTCTCTGATGTTTCAAAGCTCATCCTAAGCTGGGACATCCTAAATTTTAGGCACAATACCTTCAACCCTATGGTCATGATGATCCACCTAGTCCTTTTTGCAGCATATCATCCTTCATCAGTCTAGGTCTACTTCTAAACCATGGACTCAAAATCAGATTCTTTTCGGGAGATAGTTGCTAATGTTTTTATCCCTACTAACCCTTTTGTGTTGGTCAACTCTTCATCTGCTAATATTTTCTCAAGTTCTAGAAAAACCTCAACTTTATCCTATCTCAGATCATATCAATGGCTATTATCTTAGCTATTTTCTGACTCTAATGGAAGCATTAAGAATATTGACTATCATAGATAAGAGATTTCATATTCTTTATACTAGAAGGGGCACAAATTCGAGGAAAATCTATTGGCACTAATCTTTATTGACTATGCTTCAAGCAAGATAATCCAGATGAATAGTTCTCTATGCTATTATATTTTTTCTTTCTCCTCAACAATTCTTTGAAATTGCCCTCGTTGTATTAGTATCAATAACTAGTTAATATTTTATGCTTTTAAAATAATAACTAAAGATGCATTTTATATTTAGGCTACAAATATTTCAAAATAAACCGATACATACATATTAAATCTAAAGGCTCAACATTAAGCCATACAATAATTTAAATGAATCAGTCACCCAATATCCTTTTTCTTTACTTGAAAAGCTTTACTGTATGTCATATGTTTTTTTATTCCTAATTAATTCTAATGATTTTCTTCCAAAAACTACTCACGTTGATGTGGGCTCCGAAAATTCGCGTCTTGTCATCTCTGTGCCTTCTTTTATTGATAGGAAGAGATTTAACAGTAGGGTCGGAGGAAACGGGAGCAAACATGCGGCTCTAACGTGCGAAACAAAGAACAAGAGATTGAGAGTTCCTGCGTTCGTGAGAGTCGAATGGGTTGTTCTGTCTCTTGCTTGCGGTTTTGTAAAAACGAGGAGCGGTTTTGTCGTTTGGCAGAAGATCGTGAATGGTGTGTGGGGCAATGAGGTTGTTAGGGGTTAATAGTTGCCCGATTGATTTCTATCGAGGCATGGACCAATTCATCATCTTAAATATGGAGAATCAATTAAGTCCCCCTTTCATAAGCTTTCTAAATTTCTCTTAAAAAACAAATCCCTTACCTTCTATTGGGCCTCAGCCGTCCGAATCTGTAGTTCTTTTCTTATTAAAACAATAAAACTAAGAAAGTGGTAATCAAGAACATAAATTCTGCGGCATAAGAAACCAAACAAAAACTAAAGAAAAAAATCATGGATAGCCAAGAACTAGCCTTGACAAACTTGGATACATCTGAAGACAGGATTGAAGGGTTGGTCCGCATAGTTCTCTTCACTCACAAATAAACTCATCCTTTCAATCGTAAAAACACTAAAAACTACAAATACTGTCTTATAGATCATTTCCAATAGGAACATGAAAAAAGAAATAGCCTTCACATAATCAAATTGCAATATCTCCAATCAAACTATGAAGAATAGTCTTAACATACTAAAATGCCAGGGGAATGTATCGTAGTTAGCTATACTTACAAGAGATAAGAATGTCAGCTAAACAGAAGCAAGGCTGCATCTAATAAAAGTTTCCAGCCTCCAATCATAAAATATGAAAATAGATAATTGACACATCATTGTTAACATAATTGGTTGGTAGAAAGCAGAAAAGAATAACAGTGAATAGTATAAAAAATCAACTGTACCAACCTGATCTCGAATGTATGTAGCAGACATGTTTCGCATAAAGGATAAGAAGTAAAGGGGTTTATGTGGATCAATTTATAAATGTCCGGGATAAATTCATAGCAACTTAAAGAAAACAAACCAGCAACAGGTGCGTTTAAAACTGACTAGTTACCTGGAAAAATTACAGAAACTGGCCATGATTTTAGGACCTTAAACAATATAATAAAGTCAACATCAGCAAATGTACTGCTATGGTAATGTGCCGTGTCTTTTAATATATTTACAATTGCTGATAACCTTGATAACTCAGGATCTGACAACGACAATGTGTTATGCTCCTGCAAAATATAACCGTGTTCAATAGAAACTATGAAGGCTACGTCGCTTCGATAATCATTTTATATCGAGATACACATAATTTAATGCAGTCAACCATTCTACAAAATAACAAGATAGGCTTTCGACTAAAGAATGAAATATGAATGAGTTATCTAATTTCATGTTTTCAATTCAACGCTCAAAAACAGATATAAATTTGTTTTGCTTTAGTATAGAGAATTCAGACTGTAGTCGACATGTTTTTTTTTTTTTTTTTTTTTTTTTTTTTTTTTTTTTTTAATTTTTTTATTTAGACTGTAGTCGACATGTTAATAGACAACAACCTCAGTATAAGGTTTAAAGTTTAAAAGTACTGGCATCACAAACCAAAGAATAATAGACATTGAGAAATAATTTTGAATAAATGATCAACACCTTTCACCTACAACAACCCGGTCCAACAATCTACTATTTTCAACTCTCCTCTCGTCTCAATCTAATTTTTAAGATGATATCAAAGCCATACTCAACGAGAGATTGAAGGGTCCTCTAATATGGAGTCTCTCCTCAATGCCGAAGGGTATTTCACGAATATTGAAAGCCAATCTTCAACAAGCACAAACGGCAAAAATATACATATGATAGATCCTTTTGTAAAGAAAGTGTTGGCAACTACCACCAAGGCGATGGTGACAACTGCCACGAAGAGGCCAATGTTCAAGACTTTGACAACTTCAATGTTAGAAATCAACTTCAAAATGAAAGACCTGGATCCCAAAATGAAAAACCCATGATGACATATTAAATTAACTAATTACAAAGAGAACCGAAAAAAAAAAATACAACTCTCTATTTTAGCCATCTGGACGACAAATTGAAGAGAGTCAACTATTCTCCTAATAATTGCTTATTCTAGAACATCAACAAAACAAGTTTGGTTGTTTAAAAAGGTAAATACGCATATGCTCTGATTACTAAAAACAAGAAAACTTTTATTTTTATAGTAGAATCAAGATCTTCATATCATATGACAGAAGAAAAAAATAATACCTTCCATAATTATAGTCCATGCCATGAAATTTATATGGTTACAGATGGGTCAGTATTAAAATGTATTAATGCTCCTCATTCAACCTATTGAAGCTTCACCAAACCCACAAAATCCCCCATCACCTTGTCAATGCTCTTAACTCATGGAGAATGAGCTTCGTCTCTATAGTATAGGGAAAAGAAAAATCAAGAGAAGCAATCAACATATCTTCAGCATACCAAAGAACCTAAAATTGTTCAAGGACCAATTAAGCACAAACTTGAGATAATAAATCCAAAAATGATAATACTGATCTTCACTATACCATTACTGATCTTCACTATACCATTGACGTTAGGAAATGAGTAAGGTCATGCACTAAACACTTACTTTTGTTACTTATAAAGGTCTTCAACTGGATTTTGTGTTTTTGTCACTTTCCTTGATAATTTACATATTTCAAACAATATTCATGAAGCTTTCAAAATCTTTGAGTGGAAGAAAGTTGTAATAGAAAAAAATTCAATCCTTAGAAAAAAATGGTATGAGAGTAGTTTTTGAACTTCTGCAAGGCAAACAATTTGGGATGCAAATGGATCATTACAACCAAATTTAAAATAGATTGGAGTATGGTTAAATTTAATATCCGACAATTGTAAAAAGTTAATCTTATGGCATTGAAAATTAAAAAAATTCTCTCCAGATGCGAAACAAAATTCAAATTTTGCTCTAGCTTAGGAAAAAATTGGATGGACCTCTACATGAACTTGAAATTAAGAATGTTTTTCTTAATGGTGATCATAAGGCGAATTGAGATACCACTTACTTTGGAAAATTAGAGAAACATCAATAAGGTATGTAGAATTAAAAAAGCTCTATATGACCTCAAATAAATTCCTTGTACATGGCTTGGTAGATTCTCAAAATAGATTGAGGTGTTTGACACAAAGGTATTCTTATGATCGTGTATGTAGATGATACTATATTGATAAATGACTTTGCTAGAGAGATAACCAGATTAAAAATTTTTCTGGCCAAAGAATTTGGGATAAAAGATTTGAAAAATCTAAAATAGTTTCTTGGTATGAAAGTGGTACAATCAAAAAAGGTATTATCATTATCTAAAAAAGAATTATTGTTGTTGATCTATTCCAATAAGACTAGAGAGGGAGTTGAAGATAAACTTGAATTATGGAGGTCAACCTTAAGAGTCTAAAGGTTTTCTCATCTATTACTACTAAAATTACACTCCATATATTCAGTTTTAAAGATGGTGGTGAGACTTGCAATGATTTATGGTGCCCAATGTTGGCCATTAAAAGAGAAGCATAATACTAAGTTAAGATTTGCAGAGATGAGGATGCTCGGGTGGATGAGTGGCTTTATTCTTAGAGATAGGATATGAAATGAGCATATCCTTGAAAAGGTTGGAATAGCTCTAATGGAAGATAAGATTAGAGAGAGTCTCCTTAGATGTTTGTCACATAAAACTTCGGCCTTCCGATGACCCTTCCGATGACCCGGTTAGGAAAGTAGATGTATTAGATTTGACTTATGTAAAAAAAGGTAGAGGTTGAACTAAAAAGACTTGGTTATAAAATATTAGAAATGGCCTCTCTTTATTAGATTTAGATGAGAATTTGACTCTTAACATGACACAATGGAGAAAAAGGATTCATGTAGCCGATCCCACATAGTGGGACAAAGGCTTGTTGTTGTTGTTGTTGATCTACTTCAATAAGCAAGAATCGTCGAATGTAAGTGCATAGAAATTCCAATTGATCAAAGGCCACCAAGTGATCAACCTCCATAGAGTTTGATTCCTATGAGAACATCACATTTTGCACCATGTTGACATCAGTCCTTGAAGTCTTTTTGCCCCGCATTGGGTTAGACGGCACCCCCGCCTTGCCTGCACCACTTCTAGAGTTCTAGTAACATAAGCGTCACCCTTGGGGTTCACCATAACATCCCTTAGGCTTTCTTCTCGTGGGCCTACTGTCCGTATGAACATTGGCCAAGCCATCAGACATATGCTTCGCCAATGCTTGAGACTTCCCCTTTGTCTTGCCCAAGTTGGGCTTACTCGTGGATCGCATCTCAACCCCCTTTTATTCACCAATAGATCCACCTACTAAACACCTACAATAAAAACCCACACCACCACCTCCTCCATCACCTCTGCCCCCACTCAAATGGGGAGGCGACCTTCGGTTCTACCTACCATGCCAGACATTCTCACACTAGATAACTGCATTTTAAAGTACCTTAAAATGATACCAAGAAAAAGCCTATTATCCAAAAAGTTATCCAATAAGAAAATTAATATTTTTATGTTTCAAAACAACGATCCACCTTGGGTTATTATACTTATGTATGGGGAAACTTGGCTACATGGATAAATAATAAAAAAACCTCTGGTCTTAGAATCAGTACCGAAGTTGAAAATAATTCAATTGCCTTTGGTATTTGTAAAGAATGTGGTTATAAATATTACTAGAATAATTAATCTATCTAGCGGAAAAAATTTCTAAAAGTGAACTATGAGAACAATACTGCTATAAGTATTGCAAAAAACCTTATTTACCATGGACTAAACACATTAAGATTGATTGACATTTTATCTCAGAAATAAATAAAAAAAGACTAGCCCAACAAAATTACATTCCAACAAACTCTCAAACTACATATATCTCACCAAGGATGTATTTAGTATGTGTTTTGATAAACTAATCAACAAGTTGGTTATGATCAATATGTGCAACCCAGCTTGAGAGAGGTTTGAAATAATACTTAATTTTTATCAGCACCTTTTCCATCTATAACAACCCAACAATTCATAAACAACAACTTTCATCTATAATAGTCTAGCAACCTGTGGATAGCAACTTTCAATCTATAGAAATCTAATAATCTGTTAGTAACATTTTTCCATTCACAACAATCCATGGATAGCAATATTCCATTTTTGTTTTATAGTTAACTCTAGATTTTATAATTAAAAATTGATTTTCAAATTTATTTCTTTCGTCAGTAACTATTTCTTAGTATATTTATGTATAGCTTTTTGTCTTCCTTTTTACATACAAGTAAATAAAATTCTGTCATATAGTCTCCCATTTTCTACCATCTTCTCTTCTTATTTTAATACTGAAGAATATTGAACATAATGAAGTTAGACACCAACATAATTGCATGAAAAACCCTAAAAAAGTTTGCACATAATTAATGGACTATCAACACTAAATTTTTGGATATCATTATTATTTAAATGATAATTTGTACTATTTATTCCTAACAATAATTCATCATCTGATCATTAGATTTATCCCAATGATTTTGTTTTAATTTTATGAATCATACTTATCCCTTCATTCATGCCAAATGCTATATGAGCACTTAATAGTTTTTTTTTTCTTAATCCATTCAAATTAATTTTATCTACCATCCCTAATGGTGACTCTTGTGATCCCTTTTGTTTATACCCAAATCTCCCAAATCTTTCTTCAACTAATCTTCAATCTCCTCTATATCACATTTTATTATATATAGATTCAAAATACTTAAACAAATCACATGTAAATGTAGGTGTCACTTTTTCCGCATGCCATCATTGGCCAACAGTTATCAATTTTACACTTATTCAAATTGCATCTTATAGAGGGAGAGCTTAGAGCAGAGATTAAGTTTCCTATACTATATTCTAGAGATCCCAAATTTAAGTCACAAAAACCATCTTCAAATGCAATGATAAAGCTGCATACATCAACCTCTTCTTAGTCCCTATTAAGTCTTACACTGCGTATAAGACCCTCTATAAAATTGTATTAATACTATCTTTATCTTCTAAGATTTTCCTCCATTATCCTAACCATTTATTTCAAAAATTGTTTCATATATCATAAGCATGCTTCAAATATCATACACCAAAACAAACAATATAAATCTTTTATAACACAAAAATAGGAAATAATTTTAGATATTTCAGTTACTTCACCAATTAATATGTTAATGTAGTTCATCGTGGTACTAAATGCTAATCTGTACTTTACTAATCATAGAGATGGAGGAAATGAGATTTTGAAATTTAATAAGAGTATTAAAGACCCAGAAACCGATATCACATTACAGCTTTTCAGCGTTCAGAGAACAATACTGCTTCGAACAAATCAAGTTTGAATGCAAGCACAAATTAACAAATCCCATAAAAAACTGTTAGCTTTCTTAATCGATAGATGTAAACTGAAATGGTCTAAGCATTTGTTATGGAAAAATCAGTTCTTAACATGAATAAAAAAGAGCAGTACTTATTAAGCTGACCCCCGAAAAAAGTAGGAATGAAAATAATTGTTGAAGATTTTAGTTCAAGCAAAATCAGTAAAACAAATTGGGGAAATGTAACTAGGAAAATTCAAAGATATGCATACATGAACACAACACTATTTAGTAGCATCAGAATAAAAGCTTATTAACTTGGCATATGTCAGTTTAGCCTCAAAACCGGTTGGTGATATGGTTCAACTGAATATGGCGTGCATTTGCAATGAGTTGTGGCTTTTAATCTCGGTAAGAATTTAAATGCAGACACAGTTCAAGCTCTCAATATGACTAAATTACATCTATAATCACATAGAAAGATTCATAAATAAAATATTGAGTATTCAACTAGAAATGTCTAAGGTTGGAACAATGAGCATTCTCATGCTAACAGAGGAAGCTTGTTCATACTCAATGCAATTATAATATTTGGATAGAAGCTGTTCAAAATGATTTATGAAGAATAAGTTTAACACCTCAAAATTCACACATCAAGAATAAATGAAAATAGGGATTTATAACACTCAACCCAAATAGTTGGTAAAAAAGAATAACAATCGTGTACATATATAGAAGCATAATATTTATAAGTAGACAACAAAAAATGACAGAGAACCTCTAATGATACAATTACAAAAATAAGCTAATTACAACCTGACTGATATTTATGTAAGCAGATACTGAAAGAAAAAGCACCAGAAACTGATCACTATATACAAAGGCCACTCCATTAATGCTCAGTCCATTTTAAAAATTACCATTTCAGCTGAAAGCGCCAGATTAAATGCTGTAATTTTCTTCAGAATACCATCAAACTGTGCAGTCTCAAAGAGAAGCATTCCTTTCTGAATAATAAAAATTCAAGAAAATTAGAAATGACCAAACTTTTTTAATTGCCTTCGCAGGGAAAAATAAAATCAGCTGCACAAAAAAAAGTATAAAATAATAAGTAGAAAGGAAGATCAAACCCAGTAATCATAAGCAAGGGAAACCCAAGTATTTGACATAAATATTGCAGCATCCAAAGCAAGTAACAGAAAATTTGTTTAATGTAAAACTTAAATTGAAAACAAAGCAGATCTTATAGGCATGAACTATACTATCTTGTAACAAGGAAAAAGAAAACTAAAATAGGGAGCTTATCTGCAATTGACCTTGAATTAAGTGAGAAAAGAAGCGGAATAGGGTATTGCCAGCAGAACAGTAGGCCGAAGAAACACAGATTGAAGAAAGGTTGGGCTAAGAGGACAACCTTAAGGTGCTTGTCTGATCAAAAAGTCTAGGATGACTGTCTCATCATTTGGCGATGAGAGGAAACTAACTGATTCCTTTGGGAGTGAAAAAGCATAGTTCATTTGTATGCTTAAGCGTGTTGGCCTTCATGCGTGCTCCATGATCAATTCAAGCAATTGCGAAGAAGATGGTGGACAATAGGCACGACATCACATGAAATAGGACTAAAACAACTTAATGTTGCGCAAAGTCACCAAAATGTCATTAGTTCCCGAAATGGAATGTGCCGACTCGTTTGGAGCACTGAAATTACCCAACGAGCACCTTCCGCAAGCTACTTGATCGAGCAACGATGAAAACAACACTAAGAATTTGAGATTGCGTGAAGTTGCATGAACTTTCCTTGTTCGCCAAACGGACTGTCGATGAGTCTGAAACATTAAAATTATCAAGAAATGATACTCATATTGCATGGATTGTTGCGCGAATCGAAATGCAAATTTCCTTATTTTCATCCTTTTACTTATCATTAATAATTAATACTTCAGAAAAATTACATCAACTTATATACTTCGGCCTTTTTGGATAATCATTTCCTTGCTATAGGTTGAACCATCTTAAATCACCAATATTAGTCATGAGAGTTCCTTTTCATTTTCCTGATAAAGGTTTGGATCGTCTCACTTCTTTAGTATAAAAAATTATTTCTTCCTACGTAGGTCATTAAAGTCAGCCTAATTAACTCGCATGATATAGCCTTTATAAGATATTTTGAATTTCCTGCACATTATTTTAATCTTTCTCATTCTAGCCTTTTAAGATATTTTGAATTTCCGACACATTATTTTAATCTTTCTCATTCATTGACATTTTACATAAACATTTATTCATCATTTCGTAATGATGTATATTCGTGATAAAACATGATGAATGTTAAAAAACATATTTGTGTATTTTATGACATTTAACAATTTTATAATAATTTATAAAATTAATGAGGATTAATCTGAAATAATTTGAATCAATAATCACATGCTATGCATAATATACATTAAGCCTTTTGATGCTCTTGGATGTCTTTAACATGCACAATATGCTGAAATGTTTCAAATACCAATCATAGTAGGTCCAAATAAACATAAAATGTGCAAACTTTAGTCTAAGAAATTATTCGACCCATATATTAGAAGCTGAGTATCGGATGTAATAAAAAATAAGCAAAAAATTAGGCCAGCCCTAATTTTTTACTAGGAAAGACATTTCCTTATTAGGATAAAGAAATTAAATAAAGACACTATTGAAATAACAAAAACAACAACTTTATATCATATAAAACGACCATACAACAAAAGACGCTTACAAATGTCTCAAACAAAACACCTAAAGTTGCATTCATCCATTGAGAGAAGAAAGATACAAGTGGGGTGGATTCTTGCGGATAGAAGAAGAGGTTAGAAGCCAAGAAGAAACATAGGAGAAGCTCGCAAGCATTCCTAAGAAGAAGAGAAGAGAGAAATGGAACAAGCTCGCAAGCTTTTCCAACAAAAACCCTCAGGTTTTCTATTCCAAAAATCACATTATAACACCTTTTTTTATTCCAAATCATCTACTATTTATAGACAAAAAGAGGGCAGCTAAACAGCCCCTTAAAACATTAATTAAACCTATTAGATTTAGGGAAATGAAAGGCCAACAACCACCAAACAGCAGCCCCAAAACCAACATACAACAGCCCTTAAATCAGCACAGAAAACAGGGGAAAAAGGGCCACGGGAAACCAGCCAGCAGCCACGGGAAACCCAGCTAGCAGGGGTCCCGAAAAGCCACACAAGAACCGAAGCAGAGAGACGTGGAAACCAGCCAGGGAACCACGGGAAAACCAACAGCAAGGGACCCGAGGAGTCACACAGAGAACAGAGCAGCAGGCACATGAAAACAACCACAAAAAACAGAAGAGATAAGGAGGAAGAGGAAGAGCAAGGATCACCTCATTATGAGCCACCAACTTAGCACATAAATGAACTAAACTTCAGCTCATAATGAGCTATCCATCAGCTCAAGCTAAAATTAAATAGATTTTCTAATAAAATAGCTCAAAACCAAGTAGCCAAAGGCCCAAACCGAGAGCACCAGTAGCCCAAGGGTCAAAACAAATTCTCATATTGTTTTGACCCCCCTTTGCATGCATCATTATCCCACTGAATAAATTAGATACTCCTTATGAGAAATGACCTTATTTCTCTCTCTCCAAAGTCCCGATCTTTTGTAACAACATTAAAAAAGATTTTCATCAATTCGTAATGTTTTCCAAATTGAATAATCAAATATAACACAAATATCATTTTTACCTCAAAATGCCTTTCTCGTATTCAAAAACTTTAATTCTACAACCAAAACCAAAACTCAATTCATCAAAAAAGTTAGGGGGTATCAATTCAGGTCAACAGGTCGGGTTCGGGTCGAACATAACCTGTCCTGGCCGATAAACGGGTTGACACTAACCCGATCCATTTTTTCAAACGGGTCAAAATTGTCAACCAGGACCCGACCCGTGCGGGTTATCGGGTTGACCCAACCTGCGAGGCCAGCCAGCGCGGGCTGCCACAGCATGGCGGCAGCCTGGTTGGCGAGGGCGGTGACCTGCGGTTGTTGAGTGCTGACTTGGGTCTCGCTCTTGTGAGACGGCTGGCATGACGGTGCGGTCTCGCTGTCGTGCAACGGCGGCCTGACGCGACAACTAAGGGACGACTGACGAGATGTGACAGCCTGACAACGACGCGAAAAGCGACAACGTTGGCATGAGACGACTAGACGCGGACACGGTCAAATTACCGTGTCAAATGGGTTGATTTCGAGTTTCCGGGTCAACCCGAACCCGACCCGATTTTCCAAACGGGCCGAAAACTCGAACCCGAACCCTACCCGTAATGCAAATGGGTTGACCCAAACCCAAAATTTTTTAGGTCTGGTTCGGGTCGTGTAAGATTTTGACACCCCTAAAAAAGTCCCAAAACTCCTTACTTTGACTTTTCCTTTTCTTCTTCCATTCCATCTTTTTCTTCTATTTTCTTGCAGCTATAACACCTAAGCCAAAAGTCGTTCACTACTTGATGTTCCACTTAGCTACAAGTCTTAAGAAAATGAAATATGAATAGTTTAGCTCTCTCTCTCTCTCTCACACACACACACACACACCTTCAAGTTGATTGCCATCTTTTACTTTAATTCTATAACACAAATAAAAATCAATTCATCAAAAATATCCGAAAATTCCTTACCTTGACTTTTCCTTTGTTTTGCTCAGGGAAAATAGTGCGTAGGCATGAATCCCGCTTTGTAGTTAATAAGATTTCTCCTAAATATGGTTTCATGGTTTATTTAGATCTGGGTCCTTACCTCCTATGATCGAAAGCCCTAATAGTTAATTACTCCTATCGTATAGAAGAGAACTCTCGACTAAGAATGAATTAGTGTATAGATGTGCAAGCAGTGCAAGCGTTTTAATCTTGTTTGTGGGGGGATGAAGGTAGACTTGATCAAGATCCTATGATTCTATCATCTTAGGTATACCATAGGTTATATTCTAAACAATAATTGATCGTAGTAGTGCCTACGGAATCTGATTAGCAACCATGGGTTGCCTTCTCTCAGGGATCCCGAGTAAACAAAAATGGATAGATGCAGGTTTTAATATTATGATGGTTTGGTTCGGGTCGAGGGCTCACAGTTCCATTTAGAAGTTGCATGATTATTTTAGAAGTGGGTCTTACTGTTTTTATTGAAAGTAGCCCGTAGTTTGGGGTAGTCGTCCTTACTGCTTTCATTGAAAGAAGCACATAGTTTTAAGAGGTTGGGTCTTACTGCTTTCATTGAAAGTAGCCCTTATGTTTAAGAGGTTGAGTTTTACTTTTTTCATTGAAAGTAGCCCATGATTTCAATTTTGGACAGGTCTTATGGCTCTGCTTGAGAGTTGCCTAAATGTTTGGGTTTAGGGTTGTTCACTTAAAAGTTCCCCTAAGATTTGGATCTTACTGCTTCACTTGAAAGTAGCCCAAAGGTGAGATTTAAGGTTAGGTTACTTTTACTGAGAGATTTCCATTAACGCATAAACTAAAGTCAGGCTTATGACCTCTATTAGAAGTTGTCAGGTGAAATTATGTTAACGGAGCTTTAGCAGTAGATACTTAGTTTTGTGCTTTTCAACGCCTCAGCACTTGTACTAGTGTTTTGTTTACAATAGTAGCTTCTGACTCACAGTAGTAGCTTTGCTTACTTAGTTTTGTTTCAGCACTAGTCATGTCTACAGTACTTACAACAATTTTTACTTTCAGCACTTTGTTTCCCTACTTGTTTTTGTCTGTCGTACTAGAGTTCTACTTACAATACTAGTTTTGTTTACCACCCTACACTAACTTTTGTTTACTTCTTTGCATGTGTTCGTGGTTAGCAGTTGCAAGAGCTAGAGTTTGCCCGGAGCTAGAGCTTGAAAAGTAGGAGTTGGGTTTAGGTTTGCTTAGAGGTTTTTTTTTTTTTTGAGTATTTTTTGTGTTTAGTGTTTTCTTTAATTTTAGGAGTTTGGTGCTTACTTGGTGTGTGCTGTACTTAGATTTAC